GAGAGAGAGAGAGAGAGAGAGAGAGAGAGAGAGAGAGAGAGAGAGAATGTGTATGAATGTGTCAGTGGATCTCTGGGGTTTCTCTCATCAGAGTTTATTTCACAGTCTCTTTCTGTTACCATGGATGGAAAAAAGACTGAAAACATGTCTTTCTGTGCGTGTGTGTGTGTGTGTGTGTGTGTGTGTGAATTGATTGACATTGTGCACGTGACATTGTGTGTGATGTTTCTTTTTTCCTTTCTTATTTGTCTTTCTCTCTCTCTCCCACTCTTTCTCCCCTCCACCCAGATCTTCTTATAATATCGCCAGACACCCAAACATTTCCTCTTCACATAAAGACCTGCAAAAACTGTTGGCCGATTCCAAAACTAATAGGTTTTATGTGTTGTGTGACCAAGACGTGCGCGCACACACACACACACACCCACACACACACACACACACACACACACACACAAAGTCAATCTGTCCCAAGAGCAACATTTGCTTCTGGGAAACACACACAGCTGTTCTAACCTCTACGCCGGTTCTAACTTGCTTTTTTCTCCTTTATTTCATTTCATTTGTTTCTTTTTTTCTCATTTTCACCATATTCTGAGTAGCAGAGCAGAGAAACAGGACAGAGAAAGCCACTGCAGCTCAGTTTAATTAGCTTTTTACTTTATTCACCTTTTTATGCTCATGCTAATCTCTACATAAATCAGCATCGTGGGCCTTTGCCTGTTGCATGTGTGGAATCCATCCCAAACCCCAAGACACCATCAGTGAGCCAGACTAAAATGCTGAGACTTGTTAATGAATGAGTGTAACTCAATAACACACACATTTATGAGATGGGAACATTTACCCTTCATTTGAAATATGTAATTCTTCATGTTTCATGTATGTTAAGGCATCTCTGTTTCAAACATGTAATATCTCTAAAATGAAGGTCTGGTCTATAAAGGTGTGTCTGGTCCCTTTAAGACCCGTCTGTGAAAGTAGTTTTATTAATAAAAGACCAATTTTAGACCAAACTGTTAAACAGTTTACAAAGGCACGCGTGTCATCCAACCCATCCTCAACACACATGTTTATATTGCCGTATCCTTTTTAGCTCGGTTTATTTACAATAATTACTTTCTGTTCCAGTCTCAGGGTGCAGCGGCAGATTCCCAGGCCAACACTGAACTCTCCGAACGCATCTCCTGCCTGGAGCAGGAAGTGACCCGAAACAAAGAGGATGCTGGGAAGGCCCAGTCCGAGGTGGAACGACTTCTGGAGATCCTGAGGGAGATGGAGGACGAGAAGAACGACAAGGAGAAAAAGATCACCGATCTGGAGAGGTGAGAGATGCAATTATGCAGAGCGATGAAAAAAAAAAAACTGCATCTTCCTCTCTCCTCTTTTATCATAAATCAGTAGAGAAAAACCAAGATTGTCTTGATGAATTGATAATTAAATTTAATTTTAGATTGGACTCAGTTTCAAGCTACATACTGTTGGAGCCTATGGTAATCTTTCCTGCAGTACTAATACACTAGTCCCTTTTTCTCACCCCTTTCTCTCCCTTCTTTTTCCCCTTCTCTCCCTCCATTTCGGCTTTATTTCTTCCGTCATCTTTTCCTTTTTCTGTCATTGTACCTTATTCACACGTGTGTATGCATACAAATGTATACATTCATGTGATTCTGCATCTGCGTGAGTGTGTTTATGTTTGTTTGTGTATGTGTGTGTGTGTGTGTGTGTGCGTGCGCATCAAACCCCAGAAATCCCTCTGCCTCTCATCTGTGGCGTTCTCAGCAATCGCGAAAACAGGCCCCTCCCCCCGCTGCCTCTCAGCAGCCAATGGGGGGGCTGGTGTGGGACTACCTGGGCACGTGAGTGGCTGGTGGCCCTGTCGGTCAATTAGACAGATGCACGACAAAAACTCACTTTGCTTGTCGGAGGATGGGATGTGAGAGCACTAAGAGAGCAACTAGTCCCATGTGGAAAAGTTATGTGAAATTAAAAAATCTAAAATGAACAGGACAACAAGGACAACAAGGTAAGAGGATTCATACACATAGATAGGTTAGAGGTTCCACCATTGTGATTAAAATGTTATCTGACAGCATCTGATATATACTTACTGGACATTTCGGTCAAAAATACCAAAAGGGTGTGAGAATTTCTTTTGTCGTATATAATATCAATCTAAATATCTTTGAATTCAGACAAAACAGACAATTTGAATACATCATATTGGACTTTGGAAAATGATGATGGATGTTTTTCTGACATTTTATAGACAACACAAGTAATTAAATAAAGAAACTAATCAGCACATTTATTTTTAATGGCCACTAATTGCAGCACATTAAAAGAAGAGAAGAGATTTCTCATGTTTTGCGAGCCTTTTCCACATGGGTACCAGCTGCGTATGTTCACTAATAATCAGTCAAAGAGTTGCAGCATCGATTCGCCAAGCCTCTCCAATGCGGCATATTTGGACTGTTAGCTAATTTAAACAAATCCCCCTAAAGGACAGTTGTTGTGCATCAGCAGAAGTTTTTGTCATCTGTTATACTGCAGTGTGAACTGCTCCCAAAAGTTAGTAAAATGAGGGCACAGTTTGGCACCAGCCTCCGCTGTACAGCGTGAAGCCCTTTGAGCCGCTCTCCCTGTCAATGATGCAACTCTTTCATTTAGTGGCTCTGTTTTCACGCTTCACTTTTGTTTTACTTTCAGCCGAGGATGCCTGACTAGCAGAGCTTAACCCACTCTTTTTCTTTTCATTAGGAGTCTGGACTGTTCACTCAGTTTTTTTGTGTATTTCCTTTATGCTAATAGGAATGGTTTGTCTGTTTCTAACTACTTTTCTACCTGTCTGTGTTATCTTGTTTAACCTGTCTGTGTCCGACTCTTTAAGCGTGCACTATGTACACTAATTCTACCTCACAAACTCGTCTTAACCTTGATCTGTCTTTTCTTCCTGTCCTGCATCTGACTGTCTGTCTGTCTGCATGCCAGCATGTCTGTGTTTACCTGTCTCCCTGTCGTCTGTATTCTATTGTCCTGCCTGCCTGCCTTCATGAGGAGAACTACATAACTAAGGATCCTCTTGAGATTAAGTTTAGTTGAACAAAACCCACCTCTCAAGCAGGGTCAGGTGTCTTTAGGCGTCTAAATAATCATGTTAAAAAAACAATTGGAAGTGTACCATGAGGTATATTTTATGACAGGTAGTGAGAGTGTATTTGGTTTTAGACAGGTCAGACCTGTCCGTGGTTATGAAAACTGGTCCGTCAGTCTGTTTATTTGCCTCTCGATGACTTGGATTTTTGAACAACCATATTCTTTCCCTCTCTTTAATCTTTTCCGTTTCTTCCTTGGAACCCCACTCCCACTTTCTCTCTGTGTGTCTCTGTGTGTTTAGTAGTTTGACTGTAATACTAATGGTTGTTAATGATTTTAGGGAGATTCAATGTTTCCTCACTGTGTCTCCGTCTGGACAGTAGAAATACTAGACTATTAATAATTCAGCACCTGCTGACTTCAAACTGGTGGGTTTCAACTGTGTGTGTGTGTGTGTGTGTGTGTGTGTGCGTGTGTGTGTGTGTGTGTGTGTGATTGTGTGTGTGTGTGTGTGTGTGCGTGAGTTATTCAACCTGCCAGTAGCCACAGATGCAGATTTACAGCAGTACTAGCTTTGTGGGTAACATTGTAGTGTAACTTAATAACCATTTAAAATTGAAGATGGGTGAACATCTGGGCTTTTTTCAGATCTTACATCATATGTATTTGAAAGATGTTTCATTCTCCCCGTCGATTACAATACAATAAAAGCTTCTCTGCAGCTGATATTTAATATCTGCACTTTTTCTGTCCTTGATTTCAGACTAAGGTGGACAAAAGCAGGCTTCTCGTTTCCAGTCAACAATTGTCAATTTTACTGGCTGAAATGATGGAATCACTGGACTATATCAGCTGTCGGCAGCTAGCTAATTAAGCTAATCTTAGCGCCATAAATTCCTTGAAAACACTGTATCCAACTGACTTTTTAAAACTAGAATCTTGTAACTGTTTTCATATGCTACTGTAGGTGCTAAGCAAGTTAGCCGGACATGCTAATGATTGTAGTTTACTTTGGAACAAAGCAAACAGACTTTGCTCTTTTGTTTTGGAAAGGCTACCTCTGTAGCTTTTTAAATGCAGAGTGCTACTCTCTGACACCTGGATGAATCCAAATCTTAATCTCTTCAAGGCCCAGTTACGGTATCACTGGACTATTACTGTTAGGGGAAGGGTTTTAGTGAATGATGAATTAGTATGAACTTTATTTTTCCTCTTGTGTTAGTCTTCACTCCTGCCTCAAAAAAACTAAAAACTACCGTCAAGGTACAATTGAGATATTTTAACCTTCATTCATTAACAAAGCTGTGAAAGAAACTGATTTGAACCCACAAGCACTGACCTCGCAACATGAAGTGTGCTAATACAGACCCAGGGCTACCTAAACCTGCTGTGAATTATAAGACTAAACCTGGAGCTAACAGGTACGTCAGAGGAGGCTACATTCACCTGTGGCCAACTCTTATGTTGGCACAGAGGCTATCCCTGGGCTAGGAGGGAGCAGAGGGAACATTACTAATGAAAAGATCAGATGTGGGTTAAACAAGGGTAAAAACCAGCCCCCTCTCGCCCCCCTCTAGTTCACATCCAGCTGTAACGGTACCAGGTTATTTATTTCAGTAACTAGGATGGTAATTGGAGCAGACCGAGTGACTTCACACTGAGGGGAAATGGAGCTGAAAATCTGCCTTGATGACCAAAATAAAGGATTTGGACGGAGGAGTGGAAAACAGAGAGAGGGAAAAGGAAGGCAGCGGCGGAGGGAGAAAAACAAGGAGACGGAATTGGCGGGTGGAGACGGGGAGGGAAAGAAAAGAAGAAGAGACAACATGGTGAGGAGAGGGAAACAGAAAACGAAACCGACAGAAAAGGGAAGATGGAAAAAGGGGGAGAGAAAAATGAAGGAGGTGTAGAGCAATGTAGAGTATAAACTTGAGTAATGGGAAATTAGAGAAGTTTATTGCGTGTTATATTGTTCTGTAATGGACAATTTGTCTTTGGCATGCTGTCATTAGCGTGCGTTCCCAGGCATAAGCTCGCCCTGGAGTTTGAGCTTTGCCAGTTCAACAAAACACATGAGGAGCGATCGTGTGGAATTCTTTTGGGGGTCAACCAATTTAGGAAGTGAGTTTTCTTCATATTTCATATCTTAGTGATTACATGCCATATGCCTTTTGGTGGAGACCACAAATCCACAAGCTGCACACTTGCACAAGTAGCCCCTGTGGGAAGCGAGAGAAGTCGCCTGCAACATTAAAACTATTGAAGAAGAAGTAATTCATAGTTAGCACGCCCTCAGCTCATGCTTTGATTGGCTAATTGCTCGCTTTCTATGGTTTGTGATCATTTGTGTCGCCTGTGTGTGTCTTTAAATGTTTGCGGAGGTCATGTGAGGGGAGCAGGCCTCTCATAACCCTCAATGCTGTACAGAGAAGAAGAAATGCCTCCATTTAAAGGAATATTTCACCCACAAAATGATCGTTTATCAATTACTCACCTGGTGTCTGGTGAAGAAAACTTGACTCCACAGCGAACGAAGAACAACAAAAACCGGAGAAAAGTCTTGATGAAGGGAAGTAAATGGGGCAGTGCTCAAATTTAAAGATGTTCCGTCTTCCCGGAGACGATGAAAATAGCATGAATAATGAAAACTGACTGTAAAACAATGTGATTGCTATTTTTTACTGCTGTTAAACGGGGGCCCCCATTTACTTCAATTCATCAAGACCAGTTCTTTTTTATTTTGATGAGAGAAAAACAAACTCACGTTAACATTGGGTGAGTAAACGGTCATTTTGTGGGTGAAGAATTCCTTTAACTTGTCTGTCTGTCTGCCTGCCCAGCTGTTTGCTTGGTCCTAACTGTCTACGTGTCTGTCCGCTGTATCTCTCTGGTTAATTATGTCTCTCGAGCTGTCTCTCCGTCAGTTCCTCTGTCTCTCATCTGTCTCTTCTTTGAAGAGTGATCAAGCAGGCTAACCTGTCTTCCCTCTCACCTTTTCCCTCTCCTTCTCTGTCTCTCTTTCCCTTTCTTTTACCTCTACAATGCAACGCCGCCTCCTGCTCTACCCAGTCTTGCCTCAAGGTTAGTACCGCATGCCTATGTTTCTTCTTCCGTCACTGTCGCGCTCTCCTTCATTCTCAAACTTCTTGTCCTTGCATCGAGGCACTCTCTCATCTCCTTCACTCTGTCATGAACTCTGTTTTTAATCATTCTCATCGTGTCTGTCTGTCTTTTGAAGGAGACACCTTGACTTTCACTCTGCTCCCTCTCCCTGCCACATTCGCTGCCTCTTTGAAGAGGAAACATTGTTGTTTCTCTCTTGCACCCTCCATTACAGTCTTGTCACGATACTAAGCACTAAGGTCACATTTGAGGCTAACGCAGCAAACGTATCGCCATCATTAAGTTGGACAGCTGTGAACTTTTGCTCAGAGTTCTTCTAACTTCTGTTGCTTTTCTGTCTTTGTGGCTTTTATAGAGACGTCCCTCCACATTTTGTTCCTGTCTAACAGTTCAGCCGCTGTTTAACATTTTCAACCAAGCTTTCGCAATCTTTTATGGTCTGATCAGGTTGCCAGGCAATCAGCGGAGACTCCAGGAAGTCGCTGCTCCTAGCCAAGAAATAGTGCGCCATATATCCTCCCATAAACCGCATCGTTTTGTACACTTTTCAACAGATTAAACAAGCCAGATATAACATGTTAGTTAGTGAGCTTTACAGGAGCTGGGCGGCAATTCGTTAACCTTTTGACAGAGCCAGGCTAGCTGTTTCCCCGCTAAGCTAGACTAACTATGCTAACAGACAGGTATCAATATATATGGTGAATATGGTGAACTATTTCTTTAAGTATCTGCCACCGATCATCGTCCATATACTCTTCTTCTTTGACTTTTAAATATTCCTGTCTGCACTCAGGAGGTGACTCCGTAATGACATTTCAGCATGCACGACCAAAAAGTCTGAATTTGGTCTCTTTTTTTTTTTAACAGATGTATCAAAGTCATATTGAAATGTCTCTGACCTACACATTGTGATCCACCACATAATGACCACTTCTCCCTTCTGTTTCCTGCATACATCTGGTGGTCCGAGTGTTCTGTGCGCTCCGCTGTAAAGGTCTCCCCGGTGCCAGCTGCTTCTTTGCTCTTTCTGTCTTCCTCAACTTCCAGAGCCCCTGCCGTCTTGTCGGCCTTTTTCATCGCTGTTGTTCTGGTGTTTTGTGATTTAACTCCAAAGGCGGAGAGAAACAAAAGAAAAAGTTAGCATTCCCTTGCTGTCTGGTAGACGACAGAAGACTTTCCTTCTTCTGTCCTTTTTTTGTTTTTTTTTCTCTCGTCTTGTCTTTTTTTGGGGGGCTTGTTTTGATCTTGAGCTAAGGAACTCCTCATCCACTGCCAAATGTCTGACATCAAGGTTTCTGTATCTTAAAAAGGAATTGCATTGCTTCTCTATGTGTGTGTGAGAGAGAGAGAGAGAGAGAGAGAGAGAGAGAGAGAGAGAGAGCCCTTTGAGGTCTTGTATGACTCTGAGCATTGAGGTGGTGCAGGGATTTGTCAGCTAATGGGTGACAACAAGCAGGCGCGCACACACACACACACACACACAGACCATTGCACATTGTTTTTTTTCCTGACTTACACACTCAAACACACACACAAGAAAGACTTTAGCTGACAACACTACAGTGGGGATGACTGCGTTATCTAATTAAAATACCTGCACACACACTACATTCCCCGTACTGAGGAAAATGAAAAACACAGTTGTTGTTTACAATTTTGTTCAGTATTCAGATAATAGCCAAATCTACAGTACTGTCTACAGTGGCTGCTCAATGTAAATTATTACTCTCTTATCCTATTATATTATGCTTTGTAGTGTTATTATATTATATTATTATATATTATATTTGTTGCTTCATTTCCTCATTGTTTGAGTTCTCTTCACTTTACATATTTATATTCTGCCAAACCAGTTCCAGATCCAGCTGCTCAATTATATGGATTTGATGTTTGTTTTCTTTTGTCATACATGATAGTGAATATATTTGGGGTTTGGATATTTGGTTGAAAAAAACACACTGTATGAATACGTCCCCTCAAGCTGTGAGAAATTCTAAAAAGCAAGTTTCCGACATTTTACAGACGAAGCGATTTATTGAGTAAATAATCTGATTAATCATCAATGAAATTAATTATTCGTTGCAGCCCTCAAAATTATGTTTAAAAGCAGTTCTTGTATGACATTTCAAGGAGATAAATCAATGTCCAGCATGTTTTTTGAGCTGTTAACGACCCGAAGGTTTCCAGAACATAATAGTTAAAGTGAATGTATTTCATACGTACAGTTAACACCGTACTGTAGGTATTTAGACATAATAATAGCAGCCTTCTTATTCTGCTCACTCATCTACATTGTAATCTAAAGTTCAGATCAAAAGACAAATATGAGGCTGAAGCACTGAGTGTCCGTGTTTAATGCTGGAACTTTGTTGTTCTCCATGTAAAACAAAGACGCAGCCAAGATCAACGGCAGCTCCCTGTCACATGCTTACACTATTACTATTATCTAAACACTTTCCCTTCAGTTGTGTGCTTAGTGCTGAAATGTGGATGTATACATGATTTATTTTCATAAGGACATGCTATTAAAGAAGACGTTTGGTTCTGTCTGCAGCTGTGTCGTAGTGTTTTTAGAGCTAGTTTCCAGTAATCCCCACAGAGGAAGTTTGCACACAGACACGTGGGTGTTAGTGGCCTTACCTCCTTGTTTACCTCACACATTTGCTTACTCTCTGTCTCTCTACATCTGTGATGTTCTACAGTCATCTACCTCCAAAATGCCCTCCTTGTACTGTGAGTTTTTCTTCCGCACCGACAGAGGGCAAGATTATCATGTTTTTGATCTATTTTTTTATGTTTTAAGGTTTTTATGGGCTTAGTAAACCAAACCAATATTTCCTGTATTTTCAAGGGAAATACTGAATTCCGAATGGTTAAAAGGAAATCCTTGATGTTAATGTTGGGTGAACTATGTGCAGTAAACATACATGAGGCCCCCGAGCATTTCTAATCAAATATTTATGCAGGACTCCAAATGCAATATTAATACTACCTTAATGTGGGTCCCTGAATATCAGCAGCATGCTAATGAGGGAGCCTGGAAAGTTTTTTTTTCACTTTGGAGACTTTGAGGTTGACTGAAGTTTATGAGATTGTGTGTGTGTGTGTGTGTGTGTGTGTGTGTGTGTGTGTGTGTGTGTGTGTGTGTGTGTGTGTTTCATTTTTACTGCCGGTTGCCAGCACTATCCACTATTTTTTCACAGCTTTAAATTTTAATGAAGGCTATTCTGTACGTTTCTGTATACGTGTTTGTGTGCGTTTATTTATAGCGTGTATATGTGTGTGTGTGTGTGTACAGTCAGTACGTTAGGGTATTTTTGAGGTTTTGCAAACTTTAGGAAGTTCAAAGTGCTGTCAACGAGTATGCTAGTGTTTGTGTTTATGTTAGCACGTGTTGACACTATGTGACATGCCACCATGTTTGCATGTGTGTTTTGCTGTGCAAATGTTGGAGAGGACGTCGTTGGACGCATGCTGCTATGTCACGCGCAGTTACATGCACAACTGTATGTGCGCTTCAAATATTTGTGTGTGGTCCGACTGAGAGACTCTAATACAAAGCAGGTTGTGTTTGGAACAGTTGACAGCACCGACTATGCGTGTGTGTGTGTGTTCTCTGTGTGTGTGTGTGCGTGTGCTCAGACGGGGTTTTGCTGCACATTTGTATGTCGTGTTTACAGCGTTGCGGGTAAAGCAAACTCTCCTGTGATTCCACCCCCTCCTGCGGTTTGCAACAGTTGTTGAAAGCGATTTCAGAGGGAGAGTGAAGGAAGTATTTTACATATTAAAACAGCTTCGAATGGCACTTTGCCTCCACTAAGCCGAGCCATCGAGTTCACCGAGCAACTCCTGCTCCTTAAAGCGGCGAGAGTCATGAAAGTGTCTATTTAATTAAACATGTGTAGATCCAACAACTGCAACTTTAAAATATATATATATATATTCCCATCACATATGGTGTGTTGATTAGGATAGAGAGGAAAGAGAGGACTGGGCTGACATGTGATATATGCCATACAGTAGAATTCAAACCCACGTCACAACTTCACAGTTACATATTAATATAGAAATATTCCCCTTTCTCCTACCTTTTCCACAACGCTACCAGACCCTTTGGTTCTTGCATCATTACAAACCCACAGGCTTTGCTTTAAGATAAAGTCAACATCCCAAAGTCTTTTTAACGATATTAATGTATGATAAGATGGATCAGGATGGGGGAAATATGCATAATACATGTAGAATATATCCATTTGATATAATTATGCACCAATAAACATAGCTTTGGTAAGGCAAATACACACACAGGATAGATATGTGATACTAATGTGGTACTTTTATTTTTCTGAATTCAGTCCAACTTACAGAAAAAATAGGGTTAACTGACACCACATATGACAAAGATGATTAAAAATGTCGTAGTGCACAATAAGAATGTTTTGAATTGACTATAAGTAAGTCGTTACCTCTTAGTATTATGCATGCATATCATATATCATATCATACGGGATGTGCAGACATTGTTATATTACCCGTCATCTATTGCTTCACTTGACAAAAAAGACACTTCCCTTCAGCAACAAAAAAACGTTGATGATTGATGCAGTAGCCTTCGATCCACGGTTTATTTTTCTTAGAGAGGAGAAAAAGAGGAGTCAGAGGAAAAGTACAGCACAGGAGATGGAAGTGACAAAAGAGGGAGTGGAAGGAATCAGGGAGAGGAAAGGAGAGAGGAAATGGTCCATGGTCTGATGAAAATATTTCATCCAGAGGAAAGAGTAATGTTGCATTTGGAGAAGGGAGTGAGTGTGGAGAAGACTGAGAGGAAAAGAGAGCGGCGAGGCGAAGTACATTGGTTTGATGCAAATAAATGATTGCTTTTCATACAAATGATTATAATGCAACATGCAAAAAAAAAAAATCATAAAGGGAAAAATCAGCGTGAGCAAGAATATTCCAATGATAGGAGGAGGAGGAGCGACTCGCTGTGGTCTGGCGCAAATACACGATAGCCACCCATGCAAATGATCTGCGTGCTGAAAACGAGTGTTTAGCATTAGCGAACGAGGAAAGAGAGGGAGTGTAAGTGGGAACTGAGTGTTGAGTCAATAGGAAACATTGCAAACAAAAAGTCTATTCCACATGCACATATACTCACATACATGCAGTAAATGTAGCATGAAGGGGGGGAAACCTCAGAGAGCGAACCAGATGGTTCAAGCTTCCTGGAAATCCTCCAATAGGAACATTCCTGCCTGTTTATGACCTGTTACACACTCACGCAGGGCGTGAAGCACAAATATTCAAATTGATCCCTCTTTCAGGGCACAAACTGAACGGAACAAAGGAAGAAAAAAACACCATAATGAGTCTGACTCCATGCTTACTTCATCTGGTTTCCTGTTTTAACATTTGAAACTAATTTGGATTTGATAATGAAGCAATTTGGTCCTCATGTAGGGCCTTTTAAAATGCACGCAAAAGCAAAACAAGTAAAAGCAACACGTTCACACAGGCAGCCGAACGCATTGATTATTCTTCTGTGAGCTTTGAAAGCCCAGGTGCTGCAGAGCGGTTTTGGCCCCGTCGCCGCATTTAAATTCTTCTTCCAGCTTCCCAGGTTTCTCTGGATGGTTTTGAATTGGGCCCCCTGGACCTTTTTAGCAAACCCATAAGAGATTTTATGTTACCATCCTGTGCCAATATTATTTCTCAACTTTCCTGGCATTGATACTGATGTAAAAGCCATTTTTTATGATTACTCCCATTACTTTAGGTTAGTTTAGCAGATAGTTTATGGCTTAGATAGACAGGAAAGATGAAAGAGAGAGGGGGGGTGCTATAACATATTTGGACACTGAATATGTATATCACTCTAGATGTAAACAAATACACATTATATTCTTATGACTTCAGACAGGAGATTGCACTCAAAGGAGTAAAGCAGCGAACATAAAACAAATGAAACAGCATGCTGTGACATCTCCAGGAGATGCATGGATTTAAATACGGAACTTTGTGGTGCACGGGCAAAGGTCAGAGGTCATGTCGACGACTGGAACCTGTTTACGCCTTAAGAAACAAAATGTGCCGAGTGCGGCTCGTAAAAAATGATTTCCCATGCGTGCACATGCTCTGCTGCTGGTGTGACAGAGTTTGCTGTGGATTCCCATCACTGGAGGTCAGACCTTTTTACTGGCAGCTGCAGCAGCAATGGTGAAGTGAAGAAAATGGATTTATCTCCGAGCCTGTAAAACGTTATGCTAACAGGATCGCACGCACACATGCATAAACATTTGCACGGAGCAGGCATTTAAAGAATGCAAACATACAAAAGACTTATACAGTGCGAATTTGGTTGAGTTTCTAGTGTGAGTCAGCAGTTTTGTTTTGTCTTACAAGTGCCGGTATGTGTGCATGCTTACGTATTTATCCTTTGTGTTTGACTTATCTTTCACTGTGTCATGATTCAGAAGACTTTGATAAACCTTGCTGGCATTGGCTTGGGTTAGTCCACATCTGTGCGTGTTTGTGTGAGTGTATGAAAGGTATGAAAGGTCCTGATCAAGTCAAGCTGCTGTGATAGCTGATAGGTCTGTGACAGACCCACAAGGGCTTCCAGACAGCTTAAACAGGGATTAAACCCTTTCTCCATCTCCCAGCCCTGCCGCTCCCACGAGGAATCTCTCCCTCAGTCCCCAGACGATGATTTAGACTCTGCTTCCCGACACCCTGTAATCCCTCTGTGAAAAGACCTTCATACTTCCCACTGTGGAAAAATCTTAAATGTCATCTAGTCGTCCATTCATAGCTTGTTATTGAATTCCTTTACTGATCTTCGCATTATATTGGCCCTCAGGGATTTCATTACGCCATTGTATTGCACAGAATAGTTCATCAGAGTGTCTGGCCGTTTCATCGTAATGGCAGTAACAGACTGAGGGTCCTGACTACGTTTTGGTGGGAAACGGTTCAACTTAGCATTTGAACTATCAGCTGCACTCGTGTGACCTGGCTGCCAGCATTGTTAATGCAGGTCAGTTTGCTTGTTGCTGTCGCATCTATTTGTGTGCACACATGACGGGTCTGTGTGGCGGATCTTTGAAGTCAGAGATGGTGTTTAGCGCTGTTAAAGCTGCTACTACTCATGGCTTCTCCAGTTCATTTAGCACTGTGGCTAATTCATGGGGAAATAAACAACATTTAATGCAAAAAACTATTACCAGTGTGTTTTACAGACATACAGAAATCTAATCTGTAACAAAAGTAGAGAAATATTCCCTTTCAAAACTACTGTAAATAGATGATGCATTGACTTTGACGTTGTATTTTTATGTGTGTGTGTGTGTGTGTGCAGGCAGATGAAGGACCAGTCGAAGAAGGTGGCCAACCTGAAACACAAGGAGCAGCAGGAGAAGAGCCGGACCGCCCAGCTGATGGACGACGCCAAGAAGAGAGAGGACAATCTGAACGAAAGCTCCCAGCAGATACAGGTACGGAGGGAGGAAAAGGACGAGGAAGCTGGGAGTTAAAGGAGAGTGACGGGGGAAGAGGGTGAAAAAGTGAGACGGAAAAAGTTTCTCTCCATCCTACCTTGAATATTTTCTGCTATCACAACAATGCTTCATCACAAGGTGACAATTGTGACAGCGAGCAGCCTGAGGCAATGTCAAACACACGCTCTCACACACACACACACACACACACACACACACACACGATGCAGCTCTCGCTCAGGGAGAGCATTCGAGGGGGTAACTGAAGAAGATGATTGACAGGGAGAGCAGATGGAAGATGGCGAGGAGAGGAAAAGAGGAAACGAAAAAAAATGGTCAGAGAAGGGAAGGGGAGGAAGGAGGTGAGGAAGAGAGGTGATTATAAGGGACGCAAGCACTAAACTATGTCGTGAATGCTGTGGGTTCTAAACGCTTCCTGTGGTGTGAGAGCGTCTCCTAATTGTCTGCTGAGGTGTCAAGCGACCACAAGATGAACAGCCATGTGTGTGGTGATGATTGTGACGTTTTTTTTTTTTTTCCTCGTCCATCCTCGTCCACCTCCTCTTCCAGTAATCGTTAACCTCAGCGGCTTCTCTGATTAGAGGCAGATGAAAACACTGTTTGTGCGAATAAGAGCCCTCAAGCTATGACTGCTCTTCGGTTTAAGGAGTTTGGAAGCTGTCATCTCTGTGTATGCATGTGGTTCAGAGATGATCTGATAGCTATGTGAGTCACTCAGACTTATGGGACCGCAGCGGTTACAACCGTAACTAGTGTGTGTGTGTGTGTGTGTGTGTGTGTGTGTGTGTGTGTGTGTGTGTGTCAATTATAAGCCATTCTGCGTTGTTTAACCAGCACTGAAGACTGTAAATGGAATGCGTGAGTGTAATTCAGACCGTAAATTGAATTGAATACAGTAAGAGTACTTAATCTAATTAAGAACCGTCTCAGTCTGCATAGTTAGACACCAAGTAATGTTGGATCTGGAGCAGGATTCAGATTCACAGCACATGTGTTGGAGATGTCCTGGAGGTCTGTTCATCGCCACTGTAAATGTCTCATCCTCTCTCTGCTGCTCTGTCTCCATCAGGTATTCATTCAACTCTAATTTAACTAGGAAGCCTGGCAAGAGAAAACCAAATTGCACACATTATGGGGAATTCATGTCGTCATTTTACTTAGAAACAGCATCCTGAGGGATTGAGGATTCCTCCGAGTCCTCTGAGGCAGATGGAGATCAGACCTGTCTAATTTGTGAGTCTTTTGCAGCTTATTCCAGTTCGCTGAGAGCAATAAACTGGAATGAGGAGTGTCCAAGGTTTTAACCTTTTGGACATGTTAACCAGGGTTTGACAGGGAAAGCTGCTGTTACAGGAAACTGATTTAATCCAGTCAGATGTGAAGGATGTCAGATCCAAAGTTTACTGTATGCGGGTCAGTTCATTTTCTGGCTAGTGTAGCCTTCAATTTAAAGCTTCCCTAAAAAAATATGATTAGATCCCATGAAATGAGATATTGTTTATTAAAAGTATCTTGGGCTACAATTAACGATCATGCCTGCTCTATGAAATGTCAGAAGAATTGTGAAAAACGATCATCGTAATTTCCCAGAACTAAATAGCTTGTTTTATCAAACCAAACAGTCCAAAGATAATGACTTCTCAATGATGTAAAGCAAACAAATCCTGACATTTGAGAAGCTGGAAAGATCGGATGCTTTTGGCCGTGTTAGCAGCTCTAGGGACGGATCGTGGACGTCCACCACTTCAGTCCAGGCTGAAATATCTCAACAACTATTAGAAGGACTGCCATGACAGTTTGTACAGACATTTGGGACTTTTGGATGCATTAAATGTTGTCATTAATGTTCTCCTGAATTGTAATAACAAGGTTAAATTTGTCCCAACACTTTGCTTTGTTACCGAAATACCTGCAAAGTAATTAAATTACTATCATAACATGCTGACCTTAGTACATCTCTTTATCTCTGTAGGACTCCCTCCGTCAGAAGGAGGAGCGCATTGAGGAGCTGGAGGAGGCGCTGAGGGAAAGTGTTCAGATCACTGCGGAGAGGGAGGTGGTGCTCGCCCAGGAGGAGCAGGCCCGCACACACTCCGACAATCAGGTAACCGTCTCTCACACACTTGTGTGTTGCTGCATGTCCTAGGAGAGTCCTTACCCCCCAACCAGTAAATGTGTGCGCCCACCCTTTCCTTAAACTCAACCCCTATCAGTGACTTGTTTGGCTCACGTAGTCCACACAAATGTCCTTACTTCTGAGGGATTTCCTTCACGTTTCTGTCTCTCTGGGACATTTGGCGATGCATAAAATAACACACACACAGACAAACATCTTTGGGCAACATAGAAACTCAATTCTGACATAGCTAAACATTGCTATGCCAATAGTGGCTAATGGCAGCGGCAACACATATGCCCTGTGCCAACTGAGCTCATTCAGGTGTGGCTGTGTGTGTGTGTATGTGTGTGTGTGTGTGTGTGTGTGTGTGTGTGTGTGTGTGTGTGTGTATGTGTGTTTGCCCAGTCACTCCTCATTTGGAGGAGAGGTAAATACATCCCTATTTTAAGAACAGCTTGTATTTTGTCTGCTTCAGCCAGAGCTCACAAACAGCTATTTCTTAAATGGAGCGCAAGTCCGACCTCTCCAATTGGTAATCTGTTTTATCTATGTTGAGACAGTAGGAAAGCTCATAGTGGTGTTAAGGGAGGCTCAGAAGGGAAGGGTTTAGTGGACTCAACCTCAGACCAGTGGGAGTGTTTGTGTGTGTGTGTGTGTCGCTCCCCTGGGTACCACTGACTTAACGAGGCCATAGAGATGGGAAATGTTCCTCAGAGCCTGGATGGGTTTTGACAAGCGGGGGAAAAACAGCGTGGGCTGTCAGGATGAAAACTGCCCTGAGAAAACACGGCCCGCTGTAGCTGTTGGCAAAATGGCAGGACTCCATTGTTATTACTGCCTCTAAATGTTGGCCGTCCTGTCTGGCCTTTACTTACCAGGCTACTTCTGGACAGACACATAAAGACAGGCATGCAAACACACGCTTTACTGCTGACACCCTCAGCCATGGTTAATGTCCGTGGGTGCCACAGCAGAATGAGTTCCAGATAGACAGATGTTGGAAAGACCGACCTCGAGCAAAGAGAAGCAGATGCGTGTAAGAAAAATGATGGATAGATGGAGGCAAAGTAGTTAATTATGCTCTCTTACCAAAGGTGTAAGTAACAAGTGTATCGTCTTCAACTCCACCTGCGAACCTGTGCCGTTCAAACTCACAGAGCTTTATTTCAAATTCCAGTCAAGATCCCCAAGTTTCAAAGGTGCTGCAGGATATCATGTTTAAAATGATGCAAACGATTGCTTGGATTTCTCTTTTGAGGTAATGATGCAACCAAAAAGAAACAGCATTTTGGAGGTGGATATTTGACCCTGGGAATTGGATGCAGCTGAACTGATGGGTTTGAACAAGCAGATAGAGATTATGTGTGTGTGGTATCATTAGGTAGGTGAAAAACACATCTTTTCATGAAAAACATCCAGAGTCACATGCATTTCTCTGCACATATATTAAAATTAAACAAAACAATATGCCATTTGTACAGTTTATCATTGTGGAAAAATACATATTGGACAACAACTGGGGGAAGAATAGGACTCTTGAAACAAACTTGCTGTCGTGTTTAGTTTAGATCAGTCTCATATAGACCAGTTTACTGTGCAGTGACCTTTCTTAGGGGCCCAGGAACCATTTCAGGAACTCAGGAACCTAACCTGCATTTAGACTGGAGGAGCAAAGGCCTAAATTGAGTTCCTTGGCCGTAGCCGTAGGCTGCTACAACAGTCAACAAGCACTGGTTGCCACTGGTATCAAAGTTATGTGGTTCGGCTTCAAGATTACTCTTGATTGGGCTATGTGTTACATTATTGTTACGTAGCCTATTAAAGCAGAAATAGACAACCGTGAAAGCGTCAGCGGATTGGATGGAGACGAGCAGTCACCTTTTCCACCTCTGCAGGTCTCCTTTGCATAATTTCATTAGATCCCCTGTAACTACAAAGAACAACATGATGAGTCTGTGTTGTTGTTTCCTCTCGTGTACAAATTGCATCAAAAATGCTGCTGCCATCATTTTTTTAATCCATTATCAGACTAATTTGCCTAATACTCATGGTTCTCCAGACCCAGTGGGAAGGTAAACAAAAATGCGCCAAAGGGACTTTTAGTCTGATATCCAGTGGTGAACTATGGGTAAATTACAATTCCACAAAACAAAGACACAGTTGCAGAGAAGATCAAACAGGCCGAACGATTGGAACAAGAAAAAGAAAATCACATCTCCTAAAGTTGCCTGTTTCTTCATTTGCTTACAGTAATTGTGCCACAGGTTTCAAATTTAATTTGCCAGCGTTATATTGAAATACTTCAAAACGATAAAGTGGCAGCTTTAATTAGACAGAGCAGAGACCGTTTAGGCCGGGGCAGGGTGCTGGAGAGTGTCCTCGTGTTCAAATGCTTTAGTGGAGGAGGAAGGAGTAGAGACATCAGCGTGCGGTGGACGAGTGCAGATGGCAGCCAAACACTCAGTGCAGTCCTCACCCAACATCAACAACAGTAACTCAGCCTTTCAGCACAAACGCACATGCACACGTGTGCATGTGGTACCAACAGACAGGATAGTAATACACAAGACGGCGTTCCACATACATACGCATATTCCTCTCAAAACACACACACACACACACACACACACAAACATGGCGGAAAAAAGTGCTAACTGCTATTTAAATAGCGCACCGGCGCAGCACAGCATCGCATTCAGCAGGAGCCAGATGGACGCGACATTGGTTTTCTAACTGGAAACGCGTCTCTATATACATGAGTAAATTGGAAATAAATATTTTTGTGTTCCCATTTTAAGACTGCGTCACTGCAATTACTCTTTCACATAATCATTTATAAAACGATGACAGGGGGAGGGACAATTTCCTCCCTTAATGAGGACGGCCCGTTCAAAGGCACACACATTGCTTATTATAGCGTTGGCACACACACACACACACACACACACACACACACACACACCTTTAATATGCAGCCGTGTATTGACAATCTGTGTGTGGGTGTGTGTGTTTGTGTGTGTGTGAGAGGGACTGTCCGATGGATAGGGTTTTCCCGGCAAAATCGGTTGACCACGACCACATGAAAATATACTAAACCTTTTCTAGACGTGAGTCACTACCGTGTGTGTGATCAGTGTAGAAAGGTGTGTGTGTGTGTGTGTGTGTGTGTGTGTGTGTGTGTGTGTGTGTGTGCGACAGAGAAATGAGTCAACGGTATGACACACTCCATCTGTCTCTTCAGAGACCAAAGTAAAGACAGACGTCCTCTTCTCCAGCTTTCCATATTTCATTAACCAGACAATTGTAATTCTTTGAACTCGATGCACCTTCGTCTTTCTTTCTTCCTTTCTTCCTCTTAAATTAAAATTTAAATCACAATCGCGCACAAACACATTCAGAAGACTGAAGGGGTTGCTGTCCTCCTCCCCTCCAGCTCCTTCTTTTCCAGCCGGGCCTTGTCACTCCTCACCCCTCCCTGTATCCCTCCATCCCTTCAATCTCTACTTCTCTGATGTCGGCCAAAGGCCATTCTCTCCTCCTTTGTCCTCCTTTCCTTCCTTCCTTTCCCTGTCCTTATTTGAGTCATCTGTTCCCTCCTCTCCTCTCCTCATGTCTTGTCTGAATTGCATTTTTAACGCTGCCCGTGTTTCTGACTGTTCAGCATTTCTGCGCTCTGTCTGCTCTTTCTTTATCTGCTTATCTCTCTCTTTCATGTGCTTAGCATTGGTTCGACTTTGCTTTCTCTATCTCGTCTCGTCACTTGAGCACTTTTACAACTTTTCTCTTTGTCCTCTTCTCTTCTCTGCTTTTCCTCCCTGCATGTTTGTTTTAATCATATATCCCTATTCGCCTCGTTATTTTGTCCTCTATTCCATGTCTCTCCTACTTTCATACTCTTTGTCCCTCCTTCACTCTGCCTTTGCTCTTTCTCCTTTTCTGCACTTATTCTCTTTCCTCCCATCTCTTATATTTCTGTCTCATACTCTCTCTTTCCCCCATTTTGTATCCCTTTTTTCTCCTCCCTCACCCCCATTCCCCTTCCCTGTCTCTTCTCTCTCTCTCTCTCTCTCTCTCTCTCTCTCTCTCTCTCTCTCTCTCGCTCTCTCTCTCTCTCTCTCTGCTCTTTTTGTATGCAGCTCTCTCACATTCCAATGCATGAGTTCACCAGAGCCGGCTTTAGGTGGTCAAAGGTAACAAAACAATCCTCACTCACCGGTGCTTCACTCTACATTTTTCACCATTCATTCATGGCTTTACTATTCAGCGTTTTTTTTTTCATTCCACACATTTTTCATATTTTCATTTTAATGAACGGCAGCATGGGACACAAATCAGCATTTACTGCCGCTGTTACTTTTTACGTGTTGGCCAGTAAACTGGTATGGCTATTGTGGAAAGTGCACAAAAAGTTTCTTCATTGATTTGTTTGCTCATTTATTCATTCATTCATCAACAATTACACATTATTTGTCTCTATTTCTTTCTCATTCTCCATCTCTCGTCAGCCCTATGCTCTTATTCTGAAAGGATTTAAAAATACAATTGGAAATGTATAACAATATGAGTTGAGATAGAAACAGAGGAAGACTGTAAGCTCCACCCTACTGTAGCCATGGAGAAAGAGGAGAAAGAAAAGAGAACGAGTGTGTGCGTGTGTGTGTGTGTGTGTGTAGGTGTGTGTGGACGCGCGCTCTACTGGTGGCAGACCAGGTCGTCTCCACGCTGTCAGACATACAGTGACCTCGTCACCTCGACCTCACAGACATTAAACTGACAATCTGATATACACCCAGAGAGAGAGACAAAGATCAAGTCCATAAGAGCAGAGAATGAGAAACAACATACAGAGAGAAAAGAGACACGTTTGATGTTCTGCAATCGAGCATCTCGTGTAATAACAGAGAAATGATTAAATCATTTCAAAAGCAGAGTAGCTGTCAGATGCACAGACAGACGGAGAGAAGAAGAAACAACACATACACAGTAACGGTGATTTCTGTTGAAGGCAATAGCGAAAGAAAAAATATCAGATTGAGAGAGAAGTTGGAAAAAGTAGAAGACATGTTTAAAATTCCTTACTGTGTGTGTGTGTGTGTGTGTGTGTGTGTGTGTGTGTGTGTGTGTGTCAGGTGGAGGATCTGCTGGTTGCGATGGAGAGGGTGAAACAGGAACTGGAGGTGATGAAGGCCAAGCTGTCATCAACTCAGCTCTCACTGTCCGAGAAGGAAGGTCACCTGACCGCCCTGCGGGCCGAGAGGCGGAAGCACCTGGAGGAGGTCCTGGAGATGAAGTAAGACACACACATTTCATTACTTCTCTTTATGTTAACATGTTTAACAGCTGACGGGCGCAGCGACACCTGTCATGTGTCATTTGTCATGTTTCCAAAGACACAAACACACAGCTTTTTTTTCCCAGAGGTGTGTTTGATTTAAAAACACTCGTGTGATATGAACGGCTCTGTACGCGTGTATGTGTACGACATTGAATGGGAATCCATCCGATGTTTGTTGAGATATTTCAGTCTGGCCAACTGACTGACACAAAAAAATGAAATATGAAACAACAACTTTTATAATGTTTCTACTTCCCTGTATTGTTTCGTCCTCACTTACTGTCTTAACCAGCTGGCATATTAATCAACATATACAGAATGAAGTCTGACCTTCAACGCTTCCCCCTAAATTAGCAACTCTTATGATAACTCCAGTACTTTCCCATGCTGCCTCAGTGTTCCAGGAAGGTGGTCACTGGTCACATTGACATGATCTTCAACCGACACCTCATCAGCTCCCTCTTTCCTCTTCCTGTCTTTACCTCTCTCTCTCTCTCTCTCTCTCTCTCTCTCTCTCTCTCTCTCTCTCCCTCTTCTTTCTACTTGTATCTCCTCCCTCTTTCGCTCACCACTTTAAAGCCATAGAAGTAAGTAGTGTGTTAATGCAATAACCATGTACCGCTGTCGAGCCCTTCATGTGACTGATTACATACACAGACGCACGCACACACTCATGCGGACGCTGTAACTCAGTGTACATTATAATGCAATTTTAATAGGTGGGTTTGCAGTTGGAGGAGTCCAGCAGTGCGAAGGTTCCCTGTATTTTCTGCTGTTTTACATCCTCGCTGAGACTTTACAACGAGGTCTAATTTAGTGGAACGCTTTGGGCTGAAATAGAAGCCAAGGAGAATGTCCGTGTTAGCATGTCCTGCGCGTTTATACACGCTGTGGGACTATCTTTTACTGTGGCATGATGGGAAAATAAGGGCATGCTCTGTGATTTAGCTTTCCTGCTCTCCTCCGTCCTCGGCGTTTTCTACCAACGATGCCTTTCTTTGTTTTTGAGAGAGAGAGAGACACAGAGAGAGTGTGTGTGTGTGTGTGTGTGTGTGTGTCCAACAGCACGTCCATTCACAGGCCAGGTGAGCAGGTTATAGGCCGTTTTATCGCCGCAGTAACGACCCGTGTGATTATTACAAGCATCAGCGCATCAGAATGCGAGGCCTTGTTTTCGTACGTGAATTTGCATGTGCGAGTGCGCACGTGTGCAAGCACGCTATGATTGATTTATTGACGTCTGACTGGTCCAGCGTTCCTTTTAAGAAAATACGGGTGTCAAGATGAATATTTATGTAACCGGCGCACACATGCATCCTTCTTCACGCACACACACAGACACTCATATACACACACACACA